GGCGCTTTCACCCTCGATCCTGAGGGAAGCCTCGTTGTGCCACGAGGGGAGCTTCAAAATGGCTTTATAAGAGAGGCAAAACTGTGCAAAGCCAGAAACGCGGGACGTTTGGGCAGCAAAACCGAAATCAATCCCAAAAACTCATGAGCCAAGTGGCGATTGAGCCTTGAGCTTCTGTGGGTCACCTCTGAGGTCACCTCCACCCGTGAGCGGGACCACATGCCTTCCTGTGGCGATACCACTTTGAAGCACACCAATATTAAGCCTCTATCATGGTGAAATAGTACTTAAAAGTAATTAGGGTATTAGATGTGACAGGAGGCTACCTCAGTATTTGTAAGAGGATGAGCAAAAGCAATGACACATGGATACACCAGCCCGTCCCTGAGTCAAGAAAGGTGGAGCAGAGAACTTGGTGGGGGCAGGGGTCACTGCAGGGGTGTGCTTTGAAGGGCTTTTGTGGGGAAAAAGAATTTATTAAGTGCTCATGCATCAATAGATAAGCCAAACGCAAGCTTGGATAAATAAACACGGAATAGGAGCCACTAAAAGAAGGATTTTTGGTCCATTTAGCTAAAGAGATAAAGCACAGGTTTGTAAGGACACTGAACTGTGTCCAGTTATCCAAGGTAGAGATACTAATTGTATCCAGTGTGGTGGTTATTCCTTCAACCATAAACTTAGTTCATTAATTCTGGTGGTGCAGAGGCACCTGTAGTCATTGGAATCTACCTGTAAAAACCCTGTTCACAGCAGGAACCACTTTTCCCCAGCTTGAACTGTGATTATTACAGCTGTCAACAAGTAGCACCTCTAAACCCCTTGAGACTGAACCTCTTAGCTACATCTGCACTTATTTTCCTATGTTCAATTTACGAAACAGTCCTAGAGCCTGCAGAAATTGCCTTGTCTGAAATGAGCATTACAGGTTCTGAGATTGCTGGGTGCTTTGTAAGACCAGAGTAACCTGTGTAAAACCTTTCTGGGTGTTTCATAGTAGAGACGAAACAGTAGGAGAAGAGCAATCCCTGAATTAGAACAGGCAGTGCAGCCAAAATAAATCTTGTCAATGCTGAGATAAATCAGTTGACAAACATGAGCCAAATACTACTTAACACACTCAGGGTGATGCAAGCACATAGTCAGAAGTGGACTGTGGATCCATAAAAGCTTGAGGGATAGAGGATGGTGTTCAAGAGAACAGACAAAAGCGGAGTCCTGTGAATGGAGGTTGTATGATGTACGATCTAAGTGCCGTGTTCCACTCTACTGCAAACTACCAAAAAACCCTTTCCACACGGCATGGATCTGAGTCATGCGGCTGCAAGCTTTCTTGGGTGGGCTCACTGATGAACTGCAGACGAAATCCACTACAAAAAATAACTTTCTGACAGGCCAAGTCACAGAATAGGCACATGGATGCTTCATCTGAGCAAAAGGAGAGGGCAGTAATACGTGACCAGGACAGGAAGGAGTGCTCATGGGTGTCTATTCTGCTGCAGGCTGCAATTAAATCCTATTAGGTGACCAATAAAGCTAGAAGCTCGCTCTCCTTCCACCCAAGAAATCTTCTCCTGTTAGCAAGATGCTCATTAAAAGCGCATTTCAGGATTATGCAATTCATGACTCAATTTTTATTTGATACTTTTTGATATCCCAAATGGTTATCACTGGGTACTGAAACAATCACAGATTTCTATTCCGAATGCTTGTCCGTATGTGTTATCCTGAATGCTGAAAGGTGCCTTACACACATCAGCCTGCATTTTTTTTTGTGCAGCTGCATCTTTCAGAGGCTCAGATATTACCAGAGCACTACCATATTTCCAGTGTAAGATGGGAGGGTCCCCACTCTTTCTTAATTTACCTTCACTGCACTAACTGTTGTCAAACTTGACACATTTACATTTCTTTTATCATTCACAGAATAACACACAAATTGAGACTGGAAGGGACCTCTGGAGATCATACAGTCCAAGCCCCTGCTCAAGCAGAATCACCTAGAGCACATTGCCCAGGATCATGTTCAGGTAGGTTTTGAATGTCTGCACAGGAGATCCCACAACCTCTCTGGACAACCTGCTCCAGTGCTCAGTTAGTAAAGATTTTTTTTTCTCCTGCTCACATGGTGTCCTTGTGTTTTGGTTTGTGCCTGTTGCCTCTCATCCTCTGACTGGGCACCACTAAAAAGAGTCTGGTTCCATCCTCTCTACATCCTCGCTTAAGATACTTTAGATACACGCTGATTAAGACCCCCTCTCAGTCATCTGTTCTTCAGGCTGAACTGGCCCAGCGCTCTTGGCCTTCCCTCATAAGAGAGATGCTCCAGTAGTCTAATGATCTTGCTCTAATTATCTTAGTAAAACTGCCTTCTACTGGGGAGCCCAGTGCTGGACACTGCTCTCCAGATGTGGCCTCACCAGGGCTGAGGAGCAGGGAAGGATCAGCTCCCTTGTGCTGCTGGCCACGCTGTCCCTAATGCACCCCGTGATACCATTGGCTTTCTTGGCCTCAAGGGCACATTGCTGGTTCTTGACCAACTTGTTATCCACCAGGACTCCCAGGTCCTTCTCTGAGGAGCTACTTTTTGCAAATCAGCTCTCAGCCCCTACTGGTGCATGGAGTTATCCCACTGGGAGACAGTGTAAAAAACCTTGCCAAAGTCAGAGCAGATGACATGCACTGCTCTCCCTTCATCTACCCAACTAGGCATCCTGTTGTAGAAGACTCTCAGGCTTGTTTAGCATGACTTCTGAGGAACACAGGGAACACATAGGCTGTTGTATATACTGGTCACGTAACCATTTTGTTTTCCCTGAGTCCTCCCCAACGTCTCTAATCACTTCTGCCCTTTTCTGTTCTGTTCTCCCTATTGCACTGGGCCTTTCCATTTTTCCCATCCTTTCATATCTTACATGTACTTTTCATTTTTTTAAATCTCCGTGTGTTAAAAGACTCTTTTTGTACTCTATAGTTTGGGTGAGTGTTAGTCCATGTTATCCACAGTCATAAGTCAGCAGACTGGGAAGGAAAGAAAGGGAAAGGATAGAATAACTCATATTTTAAAAATAGCAGTTTTCACACCACTACTGACAAAAAAGTGTTTTTTTTTTTTTTGTGTGTGTGTGTGTGATTTGGAAATTCCATTCCATTGATTCTTCCCTAGCCTTGCCTTCTTGAAGACAGCAAAGTGTTTTCACAGACCACTCCAGGCATATACAGGTTTGCTGGGTGAAGATGGTGATTTAGGAAAGGGGTTTCTAGATAACAAACTACAGGTACTGAGGTTGTAAAAAAAAGGTTAAAGAACCAGAGGGCAGACAGAGTAGAGCTGCATAGCAATGTCTTAATAGTCCTCATATTTGTAGAATAAAAAAATACCTTTCCTCTTTGGCAGTTTTACAACATTTAATGGAAATGCAGTGTCTCTGGTTTCTGTGTCCGCATGCGATCTATACACTTCCTTCTGTTTACAGCAGACTTAGCTGGGATCCCAGAGGCCGTTTCTCCTTCACATGCCCGCATAGAGCTTGTTTCTGCATCACTGCAACTCGGATTCACCCAGAAAAACTTTCATGTCCTGGAGTTCAGTCTGGAACAGCGCTGAAGCAAAAGGTGCAGTAGTAGCTCAATCAATGGGAAAGCAGCTCATATTGATGAATTCCCACAAGCTGGAATTGCAAATCACAACCACCAATGATCCATCCATCCATCCATCCATTCATTATAACATCACAACAGCTGAACTCCACAGGGCAAATAGAAAGAACAAGCTAAACAACACAGGGATCAGCAGAGAGAGCTTAGAAAATATGAATAAATTCTTATGAGATCCGTGCTGTGAGTGAACTTGTCCTGCAGCTGAGCAAATTTACAGCCTAAGTGGCTTTATTAGGAGGTACTAAATTTCATGGGATTCTGTAGGAAAAAAGAAAAGTTGCTTGCAAAGAAAAACGTTTTAAATATAATTGATTAAAGATCTGTAAATTTCACGCCTGCAATAATTTTATGACTGAAAATTATAGGTGGGGCATGTCAATAAAAATGGAGACAGCATATAATTATCCTGTCTGGAGAGGAACATTGCAGGAAGATACATGACCTGCAGAACTTGGTAGAGAGAATCCACTCATCTGAGCACTTCCTTATAGCTTGGGTTACCCTTTTCGGTTTTTGTGTGTTTGTGGTTTTTTTTTTTCAATAAGCCAATGAATGTCTCCTCAGACTTTAGGCGTATGTGATAAAAACTTCTGAATATCTATTATCTCAAGGTTTAGATGAGTTTTTTCACCCAGTGGTTTCCCTACCATCCATTTTCCTTGTTTCTTTTCTC